TATCTATCTATCTATCTATCTATCTATCTATCTATCTATCTATCATCTATCTATCTATCTATCTATCTATCTATCTATCTATCTATCTATCATCTATCTCTATCTATCTATCTATCTATCTATCTATCTATCATCTATCTATCTATCTATCATCTATATCTATCTATCTCTATCTATCTATTCATCTATCTATCTATCTATCTATATCTATCTATCTATCTATCATCTATCTATCTATATCTATCTAATCATCTATCTATCTCTATTGATTTCAGAGAGAGGAATGGAGAGAGATATAAGCATCAATGATGAGAGAATCATTGACCCGCTGCCTCCTGCACACCCCCTGCTGAGGACTGAGCCTGCAACCCGGGCATGTGCCCTGACCGGGAACTGAATTGTGATCTCCAGGATCCTAGGTCAATGTTCAACCGCTGAGCCACGCTGGCCAGGCTGCTGTAATATATCTTAGTCGTGAGTTCTCCTAACACACCATCCCACCCGGGGGTGGCCTTGGGAACCCCTGACTCGGGGTGGCAGCAGGGGAATTGGCTCCATGGGCCCAGCCTCGCTGGAAGATGGCAGAAGCGTTGCTTGGGCTGTCCCTGGCCCTGAGCTCCTCTCTGAAGACCTTGCTGAGTACTGGGTACTGACTCATTACTATATTTGGGAACCATAAAGAAACCAAGGGACTTTTGTTACCTCTGAAAATTGGACCTAAACACAGTCAAACAGCCCTGGGCCCTCCTTCCTAGAATCTGTACCGACAGACACCCAAACAGAACTAAGGGGGTTCCCGAGGCACAGGCCTGAGAATAGAATGTCCCTGTCCCCTGCCAGGCCCCACAGCCCTGCCCCCGAGGCCTGAGGTGCTGGCTAGGACCTGAAGGGATGAGGGCTGGCCCGGGTGCCCATTTGCTATCAGGGCGCCTGCAGCAGGGCAGGGCCAGCCGGGTGAAGCTGAACTTTATCTGCCAGGGCACAGAGCCCAGGTGCCGGAGCTGTGGGGCGACAGGCGGCTGTATCAACAGGCCTCAGACTGGGCGGTCAGAGAGGCGATGGCGCCTCTCTCTCCCGTCTGGCTTCCCTCCCCCCTTCCTTTCATCAGCGTGGATCCCTAAAACGTCTTGCACCCCAAGCTCTGTCTCAGCCTCTGCTTCCGGACAACCCCTTTTGTCACAGTTCCTTATTACTCGGGGTGGACTGCGCCGCCTCTCCTGCCCTGGCATAACACTGCCCAGCACTGTGTTATCCTCTCAACTAACTAGTGTTTCTCCCAGTTTACAGGTGAGGAAACTGAGGCTCTGGTTAGAGGATGCTGAGCCAGCCCTGGCTAATTTGGCTCAGTGGTTAAGCATTGGCCCGTGGACTCAAGCGTCCCGGGTTCAATCCCTGCCAAGGGCACACACCTTGGTTGCAGGCTTGATCCCCATCAGCTGCGGAAGCTAGTTTACCTGCCTGCTTAAAAAATAAAAACTTTAGCCCGGCCGGGTGTGGCTCAGTGGTTGAGCATCGACCTAGGATCCAGGCGATTGGGGTTTGATTCCAGGTCAGGGCACAGGCCCGGCTTATGGGCTCGATCCCCAGGTGGGGGCGTGCAGGAGGCAGCCGATCAATGACTCTCTCATCATTGATGTTTCTCTCTCTCTCTCCCTCTCCTTTCCTTTCTCTGAAATCAATGAAGATATATTTTAAAAAAATAAAATAAAAATAAAAACTTTAGAATGGGTCCTGGCAAGCACTTTCTGTGGCTCAAGATAGTAAATAATTCAGGCTTTGAGGCCCATGCGGCCTCTAATGCAACTAACTTTTCCGCCCTGCTGTTGTATGCAAATGAATCAGTGCGTCTGTGTGCCAATAAAACTTTATTTACAAAAACAGGTAGTGAGTAGTCTGTCCACCCCCTGCCTAGACAAACAATAAAACAAATGAAGCCTTGGTTTGTAGCATGAATTCTATGGTGTAAATACTCCCTATAGCCAAGTTCGAGCTCCCAGTGTGGGGTCACTGAACCTGGGTTTGAGAACAGCGTGTGCAACACCGATGAGAGACACAAGCGCGTCGGTAACATTAAGATGCATTAAAATAATACAGTTCATTTAGTTGTAAGTTCATATTATTTAATTTTTAGTTTCTTTTTAATTTAATCTTTAGGATAATTTCATTTTAGGTAATGCTAGTGTTTTAAAAAAACAGACAAAGCGGTTCTCAGGCTTCCCAAAGAGTCAACAGCGGGCCGGTCCGCGCCAGCAGGAGCCGCTCCACTCTCTGGCTGCCTGGGGCTTGGGGGCGGGAGGCCCCCAGGCGCGGGGACCAGGCGGAGGGCAGCCTCGGTGCGCAGGCCGAGCGGCTGCTATGACATCAAGGCCCAGGGCACATCAAAGGGTTTTTTTTCCTTTCCTCTCAGGCCAAACTACCATCACGTCAGTACCTTTATCACTTGCATAAGTCGGGGATGGAGTTAGTCAAGGTCAATCATTGGTTCCCTTCCAGAACGGACCCATGTCCTCACCATCCAAAGTCCCCAAGCTTTCAAACATGTCCCACCCTTCACCGCAGAGCAGCGACTTTCACTCTTCACAGGGGAACAGGGGAACTGGCTTGGGCCTCCTGTTTGCTGAGTTGCCTTCAATCTATTGCTTTACCTCTCTGAACCTCTTTTCCCCATCTCTGAATATTAGGAAGAGTTGTAGTAACAGAGTGTCATCTATAGGGATAGGAGTGACTGTGCCCAGCGCTTTGCATTTACCATAACCCTAGGAGGGAGGCATTATTACTGTGCCCATTTTACAGTTCAGGAAACTGAGGCTCAGAGAAGCTAAGTGGTTCAGACTGTTCAGTGGTGGAGCTGAGATTCATTCTCCCTTATTCCCTAAGTTTTTCATTTGTTTCTGGTGTGTCTCAGGCCTCTGGAGACCCTGAGGATTTTAACAAATGAAAATGGTCCGAGAGGCCGTTGTCTAGGGACTTGGATCCCAAATGCTCCGGGAGCCAGGAGAGTGACATAGAAGAGAGAGAGCCAGCTGGGATCGTGGAGCTTCAATTCCCAATTTGTCAATAAGGGCAAGGGTTACTCAGCTTCAGCCAGTGGTTGCCTGTGGGGACATGGGCCTAGTTGGGTCAGATTTTGATCAAAAGAAGCTGGAAATTTGAATTTTTGTGAGATCTACTGACCGAAAAATTAGGCTGTTTTAGCGTCTATTTATATGAAATTCAAGTAGGATAAGGAAATCCGTGGAGACAAAATGTGGATTGGTGGTGGCCAGGGGCTGGGCGAGGGAGTGTTCAGCGGGCACCGGTTCCCTTTGAGGCGATGAAAAGCTTCGGAACTAGACAGAGGCGGTGATTGCACAGCATCAAACCCTGAATTGTTCACTTGAAAAAACGTTTTATTTTATGTTGCATGAATCTCATGTCAATTTTAAAAAGTTGTAGTGGTTCCAAAATGTTCTTCACGATTTTGTGTATATTTTGAAGTTGGGAAGTAGTATTTCCATGGAAGATTAATATACATGAAGAAGTGCCAAATGGACACGGCTCTGAATTTTCACAAGCGGAATGCACCTGTTTCACCAGCTCACGGAGGTGTTTTATTTATTCTTCATAACAGAATTAATACAAGTTAAGTTAGGGGAAAAAAGAGAAAATACACATAATTTAAAGAAATTAAAAAGGGCCCAGCCGGGCGTGGCTCAGCGGTTGAGCGTCGACCTGGGATCCAGGCGATCGGGGTTCGATTCCCGGTCAGGGCACATGCCCGGGCTGTGGGCTCGATCAATGACTCTCTCATCATTATAGCTGTTTGTCCTGACCCCCTGCAAATCTGTTGGAGAAATCATGACACTGCACCTCTAAATACTTCAGCATTCATCCCCTATGACTAGGAGATTCTCTTAAAGGATCATAATACCATTGCCTTACTGAGGGAGGTTAACCTCGATACACTATAATCTAATATCAATATTCAGATTTCCCCAGCTGTCCCAAGAGCGTCCTTTATAGCTCTCCTTTATTTCTCTGGAGGGGAACCGGGAGCGTTTCACTGTGGCCCTCTGCGGCCTTCCAGCGCAGGGGCCCTGTTTCACAACGCTGACCTTTCGGAAGCGTCCAGGCCAGTTCTGAAGAATGTTCCTCCGTTAGGGTTCGCGTGTTTGTTTGCCATGGTTGAATTCGGGGTAAACATGTTTGAATGCTACCTAAGGGATGATGGGTCATTTCCCGTGAAAACATTAGGGGGCACGTGTTGCGATACTGAGTTTCATCGTTTGGCTTGAAGCTGGCTTGACATTTGGGCTGCCAGCGTGGCTCCTTGGGCGAGTTGGTTATTGAGACGGTTTTCTCCGCTGTTGAAGTGAGGACAGGAATAATCCTGGTTTCAGGAGGTTTACATGGAAGGCACTTAAAAGAGTGTCCGGCACATCAGGCACAGAGCCCAGCACTCAATTCTTTTTCTTTTTTTTTTTTTTTAAAGATTTTTTAAATTGATCTTTTAGAGAGAGAGAGGAAGGGCGATGTGAGAGCTACCCATGGATGGCTGCCTCCTGCACGGCCCCTGCCGGGGACCTGGCCTGCAACTCCAGCCTGTGCCAATGGGGGATCCAACCCGCAACTCTTTGGTACACAGGACAACTTCCAACCAACCCAGCCACACCAGCCAGGGCCCACCCAGCCCTCAATTCTACGCCTCCAGCACCTAGGACAGTGTATGGCACACAGGAGGTGTTCCATAAATCTTTGTTGGCAAATGTCAGCTCTATGAGGCAGATATGGAGCCAATATACAGATGGGAAAACTGAGGCTCAGAGTAAGTAATTTACCCAGGGTCACTACATGGCACTAAGTGGCAAGAACCCTGGATCTGAACCCAAGCTTGTAGGGTTTGTTTAAAAAAATGAGAGAGAGGAATATGAATGCGGTTTGCAAACCCCCCAGCGCGGTGTAGATGCGGGGAGCTGGATTGGAGCCCTACGCACGCACAGTGCCCCCGCACAGACACACAGTAGGCGCTCAGTCAATGCGAGTTGAATAAATGAGGACAGAAAATGCGTCATCTAGGGAGCGATCAACTTGCGGGGGGCCCGGGCCCGCGCGGTGGGGTGCGGGGGGACCATTCCTCCGCTACTGCCCCTAGTGGCGGCACCGCAAGCCCGCTGGGGCCTGGCGGGGTGTGGCTTCCGGAGACCCCGCCCCCAGCGACGAAGCCCCGCCCCCGCGCTCGCGGGCGGCCGCGGTGTTTTGGCCTCCGGGCGGAGCCGTAGCCACAGTCCCCTCGGGGGTCCGCAACCCGGAAACGTCCGGAATCCAGGGGGTCAGATCCAAGATGTCGAAGAAGGAAGGCGGGCCGAGCGAGGGCTCCCCGCAGGCCAGCGGGGTGACCGTCAGCGACGTCCAGGAGCTGATACGGCGCAAGGAGGAGATCGAAGCGCAGATCAAGGCCAATTACGGGGTTCTGGAGAGCGTGAGTGTGGGCTCCGGGCGCCCCAGGGCCTCCGGACTCGGCACGCACCCCCCTGCCCCCCAAGACCCGGGGGACGGCGGCCTCCGCTGAGCAGTCAGCTCTGGATCTCGGCGGGCAGCAGCCAGAGGGGCCGGGAACCGGGAGCGGACAGGTTGGGGCCCTCGCCGGGCGCTGTTTTACGGGCTTTCGTGACGTGGGTGAGCGCAGGGCAGCCTCGCAGCCCCGCTCTGAGGCGCGGTCTCGTATGCCCCCACTTTAGGGGCGGGACACGGAGGCAGTGCTTAGCTTAGGCCCGCCCCGGCGGTCGGGGGGCTGGCGAGTTTGCGGAGGCCGGGCGGGGGGTCGTCACCGGCCCCCTGGGCCCCGGTTGAACGTTTTGCCGGACGCCCCGCGTCGCGCTCGTCGCCCTGACGGGGGCGGGGCCGCCCTTGCGACGCTGCGCTTCCGGCACGTTGTCAGCGACGCCGACGCCGCGGAGCTTTGAGTGACAGCCGAGGCTCCCGGCACGTGTTGAGTTAAAGAGGAAACTGAGGCCCGGCGTGGGGCTAACGCCTGGGTCTGTCCGACTCCGAAGCGGGTCGTTTTTCTTAAGCCACGTAGGGTAAAGCCACAGCGCCGTTGGCGGAGAAAGCAAGTGAATTACCCCCTGGATAGGGCGGAAGGGGGCGCCTTCTAGGGAATGGGAGTTAGATGAAGTGCCCCACGGAGGCCAGGTACCGCTTTCCTGGGAGCTGACTGTGTCTGTGCCTGAAGGGGGTTCTCATCAAGGGGGAGTCAGGGTGCTCACAGTCACAAAGCGGGAGTTAGGCCTCAGGCCTGTTGAATCCAGAACCTGTGCTTGCTGCTTTTTTTTTTTTTAATATATCTTTATTGATTTCAGAGAGAGGAAAGGAGAGGGAGGGAGAGATAGAAACATCAATGATGAGAGGGTTATTGATCGAGCCCACAACCCGGGCATGTGCCCTGACTAGGAATTGAACCCCGATCACCTGCATCCCATGTTGATGCTCAACCCCTGAGCCGCTGCCGGCCCAGCCAGAACCTGTGCTTTCAAGTGGGAGACTAGCAGTTTCTTTCTTTCTTTATTTTTTTATTATATATGTATTTTTTTTACAACTTTTTTTTTTTTTTTAAACATATCTTTATTGATTTCAGAGAGAGGAAAGGAGGGGGGAGAGAGAGATAGAAACATCAATGATGAGTGAGTCATTGATCTGCTGTCTAGCCCACAACCCGGGCATGTGCCCTGAACGGGAATCGAACCCGGATCGCCTGGATCCTAGGTCAATGCTCAACTGCTGAGCCATGCCCGGCTGGGCAGGACAGCAATTTCTTAAACTGCAGTTACTGTCTACCACAGGGAGGATGCTGTATCCATACACTTCCTGTAGTGTTATTCCCTTTATGTTTTGTTTTTGTTTTGTTTCTTTAAATCCTCACCGGAGGGTATGTTTTCCCTGATTTTTAGAGAAAAGAAGGGAGAGAGAGAAACATCAATTGGCTGCCTCCCGCAGGGGCTGGACGGGTTGGAACCCGAAACCCAGACATGTGCCCCCAATGGGAATCGAGCCTGAAACCTTTTGGTGTATGGGATGGTGCTCCAACCAATGGAGCCACCTGGCCAGGGCTAAGTTGACCCACTTTTTCACTTAAACAAATTTATTTTAAAAGGAAATTTTATAGTTCTACAGCATGTGAAAAAAATGAGAACCTCTTCTCTTAAGTGTAAGGTCACATTCCCAGGTTCTAGGGTTAGGACATATCTTTTGGGGGCCACTGTTCACCACACTTTGCATGTTGCCAGCACTGTGCTAAGCACACTACAGGTCAGCTCCTTCATTCTCACAATAGGTGGGATGGGAGTGAGTACCAAGGGCACCCAGATTGTCTGTAGCAGAATTGAGATCTTATCAAAGGCTATCTGACTGCAAAATCCCTGCCCTACATCATCATCAGCATATAACATGTTTCACTGCTTTTGTGTACCATGCTCGAACTTATGTAGGAAAAGACTTTAAAATGTTAAAACAGCCCTGGCTGGTGTGGCTCATTTGGTTGGGTGTCATCCCATGCACCGAAAGGTTGCCGGTTTGTTTCCCAGTCAGGGCACATGCCCCGGTTTCAGGCTTGATCTGCAGTAGGGGGTGTGCAGGAGGCAGCCGATCGATGTTTCTATCTCACTATCCCTCTCCCTTCCTCTCTCTCTAAAGTCAATAAAAATATATTTTTTTAAATGTTAAAACAAATGTCTCATTTCAAATAGGGAATACATTCCCATGGTCAAAATTCAAAGTCTACTAAAGGCTGTAAAATGAAATGTCTCTGGCCCTCCCCTGTCCCCCAGCCACCCAGTTCCTCTCCCTTGTCGGCAATCTGTGATATCAGATGCTCTTTGAAATCCCTCTTAGATCTTTTTTTATATTGAGCAGAATCAAAGTTCTGCCACAGCTGGGTGTGTTTAGGGGCTTTCACTCCCTTCCAGTGTCCAAGGCCATCAGCCAGGTGTCAGCTGCCTGGTGGAAGGAGGGTTTGGAGGAGTTGGAGGAGGCTGGCCTTGGGGTTCGCGCTCAAAGGAGCCATCAGTTTTATCTGCACAGCTCCAACTTCAAAAAAGAGAATGATTCCTACATGACTTGTGTTATCAAAGATTAATTTTAAAAAATAGTGCCCACCTTAGAGGGTACTTGCAAGAGGATGTGGGGAGCATACCTGGTCTGTGCCAAGTGGACAGCTTTCATTACTGTCACCTTTATTGTGACTGCAAAGGAAAAGAGTGGGGAAAGAGGTCTTCAGGGCTTCCTACCTGTGCGATTTTTAAATCCACGTTTCTTCCCTCCAGCTAAAAGGCGTTGGGATGAACGAGCCACTGGTGGACTGTGAGGGCTACCCCCGGTCCGACGTGGACCTGTACCAAGTTCGAACCGCCAGGCACAACATCGTCTGTGAGTAACCCTCGGGGCCCACCTCACAGAAGGGGACGTTCAAGGCACACAAATGAAATCCCCAGTGTTCCGCTTCATCTGCTTCCCTGTCCTCTGCCGCAACAGGATTGTCTCATTGTCTCCGTGGAGGGGTGAGGACTCGGAGAATGGGTTAAACTCGGGGTCCCCTATTTATAGTTTCATTTTGTTTTTTAAGAACTTTACTTCATTGTGGAAACTTTATTGAAATAACAGTAGAAACCCAAGGCAGATACTGCTTACGATCCTAATCAAATCAATTATGTGTTAGGAATTATGTTTAGGTGCTAATGATAGTGACCCCGGAATGGAGGGAGAATGGGGGGCTGGTGTAGGAGTTTTCTTCTTCGGATATAACAGATCACCACAAACTCAGTGGCCTAAAACGTCGCAGACTTGTTATCTCACAGCTCTGGAGGTGAGATGTCTGAACAGGTCTCGCTGGGCTAAGATCAAGGTGTTGGGCAGGGCTGTGTTCCTTCTGGAGGCTCCAGGGAGAGGCCATTTCCTTGTCTTTTCCAGCTTCTAGAGGCCGCCCACATCTCTTGTTTTGTGGCCCCTTCCATCTTCAAAGCCAGCAACCCCACTGTGCAACTCTGAAATCTGTCCCATCTCTTTCTCTCCCTGCCTCTCTCCTTCACTTATAAATACTCATGATTGCATTGAGTATTAATCACCCTCTGGATAATTCAGGATAATCTCATCCCAGGGTCCTAAACTTCATCACATCGACAAAATCCCTTTTGCCCCGTAAAGGGGCACAGTACAGGTTCTGGGGGTTAGGACGTGAACATCTTTGTGGGCTGTTATTCACACTGCCACAGGTGGGCCACCAGCGGTCTCCTACCAGGTCATATTAGAAGGGAATTATCACCCACGTTTTCTGCCAACCGACTTCTGTTGCCTGTTTGAATCCTGACTCCATCTGAGTGCATTTTGGTGTAAGGCTGAGCATGTAGGAAGCGCTCATTCAGTATTCAGTGAATGAATGTGGAAGTCTTGTGTCCTCGGCTGTCATCCTTGGCCCCAGTATGGTTTTCTGCTCCCAGGCTTGCAGAATGATCACAAGGCGGTGATGAAGCAGGTGGAGGAGGCCCTGCACCAGCTGCACGCTCGGGACAAGGAGAAACAGGCCCGGGACATGGCCGAGGCCCAGGAAGAGGCCATGAGCCAGAGCGAGGGCCCCGGCACCCCTCAGGCCTTCGCCAGAGTGAACAGCATCAGCCCCGGCTCCCCCGCCAGCATTGCGGTAAGCCAGGGCCTGGCCACCCAAATCTGTACTCAGCGGGTGCTGCGGGTCAGGCAGCCTTGAGGCAGGGTTGGGATGGGGGAACAGACCCACCCTCTCTCCATGCTGGAGCTTGACTTCACTTACTCATCCGGCAAACACTGGCCAAGGCCTGCTGGGGCCCCAGAGGGAAATGAGGCAGCCCCTGCTGCCCACCATACTGGTCAGGGAGCGACTTGGGGACACAAGGTAGAAGGTGGCAAATGTCCCAAGTGAGGGACAGAGAATCTGATCTTGACCCCATTTCACCTGGGAGGAAAAGCCCCCGGGGCCTGATGTAACTTGCACCAGGACACGCTGTGTCCTGACTGCAGGTCCTGCCAGTCCTGTTTATGATTATAAGATTGGCAAGTTACACAGAAGCTCTGCTTTATTTGCCACTGTGTCCACAGCATCTTGCACGGGGCTGTCGTTGGCCCTTGGCAAATATTTGTCGAAGGGATGAATGATTCAGCATCCATGTTCTTAGAATGAAAGAGTCACACTAGTCCTGAGTCAGCCTTGTGCCTGTGGCTGCTCCTTTGAGGGCTTCTAGGGCAAACTTGTCTAAATCTTGGCCCCTGAACAAAAGAGGCCCAGACTGGCCTGCCCTTGTTTGCCCCTGAACCTGGGTCAGACCCCAGAGAGCAGCATTTGGCTTTCCCCCCACATATCTTCAGGCCTCCACAACCGCCAGCTTTTATCAGACATTGGGCAGACCTGGCCACCTTCTACTAGATCTGCCCTAGCAGGAGCCCCCACCCCTGGAAGAAGTGGCCCAGTTTTCTGCCTTCTGCATGAGGTTTCTAAGTCCCTGACCTCTTTGCTCTGGGCCTGCCGTTGTCCCCTGTAGGAAGCAAGCTCTTGACCTGGATGTTAAATTGGAAATGGGAGGGTAAAGAGCACCAGAAGCACATTTAACCTCTTGCCTGGTTCTCTGTTTCTCTTCTTCCTTTAGGGTCTGCAAGCAGGTGATGAGATTGTGGAGTTTGGCTCTGTAAACACCCAAAACTTCCAGTCGCTGCAAAATATTGGCAGTCTGGTGCAGCACAGCGAGGGGGTGAGTTGGGGGTTAGGTGGCACAGTTTGGTAACCCTAGAAGTCCCAGAATCATTATAGTATTTGTCCTTTCGTGACTGGTGTGTTTCATGTAGCATAATGTCTCTGTGGTCCCTCGATACTGTTACATGTGTCAGACTTTTCTCCATTTTTAAGGGTTGCTTTTTTCACTCTGTTGATAGTATAATACATATAGCCCTGGCTGGTGTGGCTGGTTGGTTGGGCGTCGTCCCAGGCACCAAGAGGTTGCCGGTTCAATTCCCAGTCCGGGCACATGCCCGGGTTGCAGGCTCCATCCTGGTCAGGGGTGTGCAGGAGGCAGCCAGTCGATGTTTCTCTCTCTCCCTCTCCCTCTCTCTGTCTCTACAATGAATAAGAACGTGTGTGTATATATATGTGTGTGTATGTATTTCTTTTAATATATCTTTATTGATTTCTGGAAGAGGAAGGGAGAGGGAAAGAGAGAGAGAAAAACATCAATGATGAGAGTCATCTATCGGCCGCCTCCTGCATGCCCCAGACTGGGGATCGAGCCCGCAACCCGGGCATGTGCCCTGACGGGGAATTGTACCGTGATCTCCTGGATCCTAGGTTGATGCTCAATCGCTGAGCAACTCCTGGCCGGGCAGAACGTATATTTTTTAAAAAGTAATACACATGGTTAGAAAATTAATGTTATAGAAAGTTATGCAAATAAACATTGTCTTCTCTCCATTCTTTCTGGGAAATAACCAGTATTAACAGTTTTTTTGGTGTCTCTTCCAGGAAACTTTGTATGTACCAAGCAACACATATGTCCTTTTAGAAAATATATTCAAACAGGTTCCTACTTCGTTGGTTTTGCTCTGTTTTGTGTTCTAAATCTACCTCATTCACCAGACTTTATTTGAATAGTACTTTACTAAGTTATATTTTGGGTGTTTTCAGTTTTTGAATTTATAAACAGTCCTGGGATGAACACTTTATTCGTATATCATCTTGTACTTTTGCAAAATGTATTTCGTATGCACCTGTTAAAGATTTTTTGGGGGGGGGGAACTGAGGACGGGGGGACATGTTTCTGCAAGAGGATGGTACCGATTTGCAGGCCCACCAGCTGCCCCGAGAGTGCCACATCCCCCACCCTCCCATCGCTGGCTGATGCTTAAAATAAACATCCTCACCAATCCGGTGGGTGAAACACAGCATCTCAGCATTTTAGCCTGAACCTCTTCGAGTGCTAAGGAGGCTGAACGTAAAACAAGCTCACTTTCCTTTCAGAAGCCCCTGAATGTGACAGTGCTCCGCAGAGGAGAGAAGCACCGGCTTAGACTTGTCCCAATGCACTGGACGGGCAAAGGACTGCTGGGGTCGAGTATCTGTTTCGGGTCATTCACACGCAGTGTTGATTGCGGGGGCAGGGGGGTTGGGAAATGATGGGAATCCGCGGGTGACTGTGGAACTGTGATGATGATGGAGCCTTGTGGCAGGAATGAGACTGCAGGTGCAGAGGTGGAGGGAGCCCTGGTCTCTCTGGTTCTTTCATTAACTGGGCATTCGCTTTACAGAACTAAAGAATGTCCATGAAAAGCTCAGGGGGGCTCACCTTCGGATCCTCCTGAATGGAGCTGCCAGACTTACCCTGTTTCCATTCTTTTTTTCCTCCAGCTGCCACATCATTCCTCTGCAGCGTTGATTGTCCCTGCAGAACGGTGACATGAAGGCATATTCTGTTGCCCTGGACTTGGGTCTAGGGGCCATTTCTCCCTTCTCTCCTCTCCCTGAATTTCAAGGATCTGGAAGAGGCTGGAAGCCTGGACTTCTGGATGGTGGAAGCGCTGTGATCTCCTGGGATCAAGGCGTTATTAGAAACTCTGTCGTGGACAGGAGGGTGGGAGTTATTCTGACAGGTGCTGGCATGACTTTATTCTTTTAGGAATATTTCCCCCCCAAAATAAACAGTTTTATAGTGCTGATATGACCGTGTTATCACTCCAACTGAATTTCTTACGAACCTCTCAGACCAAAGCTTAGATGAGAGTTAGAACATCCTCACAGAAAGTTGGGCCCTGCCCGGCTGGTGTGGCTTAGTGGTTGAGCATCAACCTATGATCTAGGAGATGGTGGTTCGATTCCTGGTCAGGGCACATACCTGGGTTGCCGGCTCTATCCCCAGCAGGGATATATAGGAGGCAGCCAATAAATGACTCTCATCACCAATGTTTTCCTCTCCCTTCCTCTCTCTGAAATTAATAAAAATACATTAAAAAGAAAGTTGGGTCCTGGTCAGTGGCTCTGTTGGTTGGAACGTGGTCCTGATGTGCCAGGCTTGCAGGCTTGGTCCCCAGACCCGGTGCATGCAGGTGCCCACTGATGAATGCATAAATAAGTGGAACAACCAATTGATGTTTCTCCCTTTCTCTAAAATTAACAAAAATTAAAAACAAAAAGAAGAAAGTTGAGTAGAACAACAATTGTGCCCAAGCCAAATTTGACCAACAGCATCATTCTTCGTGGCAGGGGGTTTCCAGACACTGGTGCCTGCTGCATTTGCGCGCAGCATTGCTGCTTTTAATACAGAAATCGCGTCCCCAGCGGTTGGACCCCCGGAGCCACAGCTGCTCCCTTTAAGAATTGAGGGACCAGGAGGCTCCCCAGGCGGCCCAGCCAGGTGTCCGCTTTCCCATCCATAACCCACCCAGGGCAGCAGACTCCCTTCACTTCTGGAATAAAAACGCCTGCAAATTAGCTTCTAACTTGGCTTTTTGTCATTGAACGCCCTCAGCTCAGCAATGTTTTATAGACTGCTAAGGTGTGCTTGACACTGCTGATGGGAACCGCAGTGTGCAGGTCCGACCTCCTGCAAATGCGGAGTTCTTTTCTTTTCTCCCTAGCACGGCCCAGTGGTTTTCCGTGATTCCTGGTGACGCTATTCTTTCCTTCTCTCTTCACCGTATCAGTCTCTCCACCGTATCTCCACCCTTCCTGGGGTCCCCGCGCGCTCTCTTGGAGATCTGGCAGTTCTGCCTGTGTTCCTTGGGGCCGGGTTCGCTGGGGTTGGACACGGATACCAGCTTGTCCCGACTGGAGTCCGTATGGGCGTGCCTCCAGCCGTGGGTCCTCATGCTCAGCTGGAAAGCCTTCCTGTGGAGTGTTCCCCACACTCACCCCAGCCCTGCACCCGCGTGTGTTCCCCCCATAGCCACAGTGTTGACCACGCTTTGCTGCTTCAGCTGTGAGTTCTAATTCCAAGCGCTTCCCAGTCTCTTTATACGCCCTTAGACGATAATAAACGCAGCTTCTGCCATCCAGGCACGGGGGTGGGGGTGGGGAGGATAAGTCACATCCCCCTGAAGGGACAGCCCCAGAGCGGCTCTGGCACCGGCGCCTGGGCTGGTTTTCCGCGTGCCTCCCTTTGGAAACCTCGGGCCGGCCGACGCGCGCCCTCTCCCGGTGAAATCCCAGCGGAGGGTCACTCGGAGGAGGAACGATCCTGAGGTTTAACCGAGCTGGTGCTGCAGGAACGTCCTGCCCTAGGAAGAGCAGGCTAACGGCACCTCTGTAATGGGCCGTCCCCGCGGGCAAAGCCCTCCGCGCGCCGCTGTGCCCGCGGAGAGGGTGTGGCGGCGGGCGCAGCCCCCGCGAGGCCGGGGAATGTAGTTTGCTTTGGCAAAGGGAATTTTATCCAACGTCTCATACTTCCGCACTTCCTCTCGTTAAGCCTCCAGAAAGTGGAAACTGCTGGTGGTCGGCGCCGCGGGGAAAAGTAGGTGGAAAGAGAGCAGGTGGGACCAGAAACACCATCTCCTCGCCCCGGTCGCTGTGGCGCTTCTCCGCCGGGACCGGCAGGGGGCGCGCCGGCCCGCTCGCGGAGGCTTCCTGGGCACGTGACCACCGTCCAGCCCCTCTCGCTTTACGGCACGTCGCCCGCGGCGGCGGTGGCGGTTACCATGGGGACAGGGCTTGGGTGGCAACCGTAACTAGGGAGCCGGAGTTGGAGAAAGCGGCGGCACCTGGAGACCCCGGAGGTAGCGTAGGGGCCCAGGGCGCCGGACCTTTGGAGGACGTGGGTGGGCGCGCTCTGTGAGTCTGGGGCCCAGCCCGGCGGGACCTGGTGCCTCGCGGGGGCGGGACCCTCAC